AAAAAAAAAACTGCTAACCATTATTTACACAAAGTTTAGTTTCTCCAAATAAAGACGAGTTCTACCAGAGTGTACCATGCCAGAACTCACGTTTTTTATCATATACAATACCAGAGCCAAAGTATAAATTAGATGCAATTGTTGAATTATTAAGAATATATTCAATATAATCTACTGGTATTATTAAATATGCAGGTTTGGTTGAAGCTGAATTTGATGAGGTATGCTGTCTAGAAATTGGAACTGTATAACTCCAAACCTTAAGCAATGGAAGTCTATTTCTCTATTTGCAAAAACGTCTTATATTTGCAATAACATGTTCAGACCGAAAATCTAAATGTTTAAGAATTTTGACAAGGTCTTCATAGGCTGTTGTGGAAATCATATGCTCTGTAATCTATAAAAAGAGCATAGTAAATGTGAAATTTGGAAAATACAGACCGTATTTTCTATTAAATCCTTCAAAAGATTGTGATTGGCTCTCAAATAGTTTATATTTTTGGGTATCCTGCTCTGTATTATTATCTGAATTTGTCAAATTATTATCATTATCTTGTAAATATTTTTCGTAATCCTCCAAATTGTCCAAAGTTATATAATCATGTAAATATTCTGTCTCATTATCCTCCCAATCTATATTGTCAAGTAATTGCTCTTCCTGATTATTCTTCCAATTATGTAAAGAGTCTTCTTCATTAATAACCCAATTTATATCTGATTCACTTAAACTTTCACTAGAATATTGATCTAATTCGTTTGATTCATTTGAGTATTATTTTGAATTGCTTAAATCATTTGAATGTTTATTTGATTTTTCTGAATTGCTTAAATTTGAAATTTCATTTAATTTGTTTGCTAATAATTTATAAATAATAGGCAAAGAACTTTTATAACTTTTGGCTGGCTTTATACAAATACGAAGAAGAGGTAAGGGAGTGTAGATTTGTTTTATTCTATTACGTCTGCTATTTATATTAAAGTTAATTTCTGTTTTTTTTTTAATTTAGTAATTGTAGATAAATTAATTGTATTCTGTATTATTAACTTTTAATCATATAGTAATCCTCTTATTTTCTTACTAGCGATGTCTTTCTCTTGATCAATTTTATATAC